ACTTTTTACAACATAATTTCGTCCAGTCTTTGTAGAAGACTACTTTTAAATTAGAAAATATAGGATTTTCTGGAAAGGACTCTAATTCACTATGTACTCTAAAACTAATACTTGTATAAAGTTATTTGGATAAAATGACACTAAATACTTATGAACTCACCAGCATTTGTAAAAATGCTGATACTTGCTTTTAAATAACTTGTGTTCTCAGGTCAGCAATAGACAGGTACATCTCAGGCGCTTTTGGTGAAGACCGTTTAGTACCAAGCTGCATCTACATTATTACTTGTATTACTTTGAAGTTTCTACGTAATGTAAAGCATGTAAAACTAATACTATTAATGCAATGATTGTTGTACTTTGATTACTATACTGCATATGTTGTGATACTTGACATGATGTCATCCACCCCCGAATGTTTCCGCCGTTCCGGTTTTGGGGTGTGACACTTGCGATAATGATAACAACGATGTTGTCATAAATAATCTCAATGGAATTTTTGATTCTTGGAACAACATCCAGATCACTGACGAATTTCTTCATCCAATAAACTTCTTGAGACACCTCATACATAGCTATATACTCTGATTATGTTGTAGAAAGTGCGACCACTTCTTACTTCGAACTTTTCCAAGCAATGACGCCTCCATTAAGTGTAAACACATATCCCGAATGTAATCATGAGTTATCTTAATTAGTGTTGAAACCAACATCATTGTAACATCTTATAGTAACTTCTACTTGAACTCCTCCATAAACCACAAACATGTATTTAGTCCTTCTTAAGTACTTAAGTATGTTCTTAACATCCATCGGATGCTTTTCACCAGGATTAGCGTGATACATAATAGTTAGACTAATAGCGTAAGCTACATCCGACTTTGTAAATGTCATAGCATACATAATTGAACCTACAGTTGAAGCATATGTTATCCAAGTCATTCATTTAATCTCATCTTCAGTACTAGGGTTGTAAGCCTTAAAAAGAATGGTGCCATGCAATACTGGTACAATTCATTATTTCGAGTTATCCTTTGAAAAGCATTTAAGACTTTGTTATAGTATGTTCTCTAACTCAAACCAATAAGTCGTTGGGATATATCTATGTAGACCCTAATACTGAGTATGTATGCAACATCCCCTAGATCTTTCATTTGACAGACTTAGTAAGGTACGCCTTAGTCTCCTAAAATGTTGGGATCTCTTTCCCGATAAGTAATATGTCATCAATATATAGAATTAGAAAAACACTTTGGCTCCCACATACTTTGATGTAAATACATGGTTCATCGGGAATTCTGAGAAACCAAACCTTTTGATGTTCTAATCAAAATGATGATACTAGGACCTAGATTCTTGTTTCAATCCATATGTGGACTTCTTCTGTTCACACATCTTCTTTAGGTTATCTAGTTTGACAAAAATCTTTAGGCTTTTCTATGTAGATATCTTCTTCAAGATATGCAATATGGAAAGAGATTTTGACATCCATTTTCCATATCTTATAGTCATAATATGTAGATATGGCCATGATAATCTAGTATATTTGATCTTAGAAACTAGCTAGGAGTTATCTTCATAATCAACACCTTGAACTTGAGTATACCCTTTTGAAAACAGTCATGCTTTGAAAGTTTATACATTTTAGTCCATGTCGATCTTCTTCTTGAAGATCCACTTGCTTCCAACATCCATGTTGTTGGGAGGTAAGTCAACCAAGTGCCATACTTGATTTTCATTCACGGATTGAATTTCAGCTTTTAGTGCTTTAAGCCATTTATCAGACTCAAGGTCTACAGTAGCTGTCTTGTGATTGATGGGCTCAAATTGAACCATCAAAAATAATTCTCTTTTGAGAATGACAAATCCAAATTTGTTAGGTTCTTGATGAGGTCTACTTGAGCGTTGTATAGTTGGTGTTTTTTCTGGCATCTAAATGATAATTTTAGGTTTAACAATTCTTTGATGATTATCATCCTCAACTAAAGGTTGTGTTTCACAAATTTCTTTGATTTTTATGGGGCTTCCACTTGATTTATGCAAGATAAAGGTTCAAGAAACATTGCTTTCTGAGCTATGAACACTCGACTCTCTTCTTTCTAGAAAAAATAAGCTGTAGTTTCCTGTGGGTATCCTATAAAGATACACTTTTGAGATCTGGGCTCAAGTTTGTTAGAGTCTCTCTTTTAACATATGCTTCACAACCATATATATTTTATTAGGACATTGATGGAACTTTTCAATGCCATAACTTGTAGGGTTTCTTACAAACCATTTTAGTTGGGACCATGTTTAGAATTCAAGTTGTGGTTTCGAGGGAATAACCCAAAACCGAATCAGGAAGGGAAGTATGACTCAACATTGATCATACAATATCAAGTAAAGTACGATTTCTACATTACGAAACACCATTGTGCTGTGAGTTGTGACACTATACCACAATTCTTAAGATGCTCATCAAACTTATATCTTAGATATTCACCACCACAATTTGATTGTATGGTTTCAATGTTTTTACCAAGTTGATTTTGTACATGATTTTGGAATACCTTGAAGACATCGAATGCTTCATTTTTGTGTTTCATGAGATACAAATATCCAAATCTACTAAAGTTATCAGCAAATGTAATGATATACCTTTCAGCGCTTCTTTTTATTGTCCTAAAAGTGCAACATACATTAGTATGTATGACTCCTAATAGATATGAAGATCTTTCACCAACATCAATAAAAGGAGCTTTGGTCATCTTGCTAGATAGACATGATTCACATACATCAAAAGACTTTGAGACTGTTGATTCTAAGTTTCCATCATTTTGAAGCTTAGTCATGCAAGTTTGTTTATATGATCAAGTCGAAAATGTCATAAATAAGTTTCAATTGAGTCTAATTTCTTTTCTTATTTAAGTTGTACATTGAATTGTTCTTTTGATATGAACTACTTAAGTTGATTTCATATATTCCATGGTAAAATGACCTTTGAGGGTAATAAAGTGTTCTATAAGTACTCATTTGGTCCCTTATCTTTTTTTTGTCTTTATTATACCACTGAACATACTAATCCTACTCACCAAAACCCTCGATACCGGTTAGCACCTGTTATGCCGGTTATCTCATTTAAGTAGAGATGATGTGTCATATTACGTGGACGTAGACCACGTTGTAAACCCATTACTCTTTCACCCCCAATTCTCCTGACAGTTAGGGTTTAATCGAAGAATACAGTTACGCAATTGAAGAGAAGTGGTGAATGCGAGTGTTACAGTGAAGAAGATGGCCTCCGATTCCAAACTCCGTAAGTATTTGACAGTTTATGTACATTATAATGGTTTATTTGCACCAAAACCATTAGTGTACTTGAACTCTGTTGTTGTTTCAATCACTGATGTTGATTTTGGTGGAATGGATCTCAAAGATTTTAAGTTGTTCATTGAAAAGTTGATTGAAGGCAGTTGCGATAATGTATATTATTGCACTAGAAATGAACCATTAGCAGAGGGTATTAGGAGAATTGGGAATGATGCTGACTACTATGAGTTTATTGAAACGGGTTATAGTGATGAAGTTGGTCTAACAATGAATGTGTATATAGACCACGAAAATGAACATGTACTTGATTGGGCTGATATGGAAGTAGTAAAAGATGATGAAGGGAATTATTCAGAGCCAGACGTGGATGATGATAAAGAGTCACAACTTTCTGATGATATTCCATATGAGCATGAAGCAGATGGTTACATCCCTTCTCTTGACAAAACTGTTGGTGATGAATTCTTACGTCGGGTGTTAGGTATTTCTAAGGATAAAAATGATGAGCTTGAAACTGATGAGGTTGAAACCAACAATGGGGATGACAAACCAGCGTACCCTGTCCATAATGAGAACCATAAATGGGACAAAATGGTGCCAATTCTAGGTATGAGATTCTCTAACCCTATGGAATTGAAAAATTGTTTGACTAACTATGCAGTGAAGAATGGGTACAATCTTTATTATGAGAAAAATGATAGTCACAGGTTATTAGTGAGATGTTGTAAAGATAACAAGAACCCCTATTGTCCTTTTAGACTGTGGGCTTCCTGGATGAGTAGCGAAAGGTCTTTCCAGATTAGGTCCTTAGTTGATGACCATAACTGTTCAAGAGTCTTCAAACTTGGATCCATTGTAACATATAAATGGATTGGAAAACATTTTATGAATCAACTTTTGAAGAACCCCAAAATGAGCATAAGGAAAATGAAAGTCAAACTGAGTACAAAGTTTAACTTGATTGTTAGTGTGATTCAATGTATAAATGTTAGGAGATATGCTTTGGATGAGATAGAGGGTAGCTTGATAGAACATTATGGTAAAGTATGGAGTTATGGTGAAGAAATAATGAGGACAAATCCTGGTTCAACAGTAAAGATAGATGTGGATGTCATGCCTGATTCCACCACTTACTTTTCTAAAATGTATGTTTTCTTTAAGGGTGTGAAGGATGGTTGGATTGCAGCATGTAGGAGGGTAATAGGGGTAGATGGTTGTTTTTTAAAGGGTATATGTAGAGGCCAACTATTAGCAGCTATGGGTAGGGATGAAAACAACCACATCTTCCCTATTGCATGGGCTGTGGTGGCAGTAGAAAATAAGGAAACATGGAAGTGGTTTCTTGACCTCCTACTAGATGATATTGAAATGGGAATTGGTCATGGGTTGACCCTCATATCAGACCAACACACGGTATATTTTCTTTTATGTTTTGTTTGAGTTCAATGTTTTTTGTTATGTCATCCATTTCTTGTTTCTTTTAGGGATTGGTAGAGGTTGTCAAAGAAAGAGTTCCAGCAGCAGAGCATAGACAATGTGCTAGGCACATCTATGCTAACTTCAAGAAAAGATTCAAAGGTGAACAATATAGGAAGTTGTTTTGGGCAGCTGATGCAAGTACTACTCAACCTAAATTTGAGGCAGAAATGAATTACATAAAAACAATTGACCCTTAAGCTTATGAAAACCTCATGGAAAGGGACCCTAAAAGTTGGTGCAGGGCATTCTTTGAAGTGGACAGGGCTTGTGATGCTTATGAGAATGGCATATCAGAAAGTTTCAACTCCGTTATTGATCTTGCTAGGAAGAGAATACTCCTCACCATGTTGGAAGAGATTCGGATTTATGCAATGGAGAGGATGTATAGAATGCTGCTAGAGGGACAAAGTTGGGGTAATTTAAAAATATGCCCGTCTATAAGATTAAAGATATCAAAGTTAAAGAAATAGAAAAGGTATGATATAACTTGTATTTTATATGTATTAATATGTCATCTAGTATATTAATGGAATTTGTTATTTTTGTGGATAGATTTTGGGGAGTTATACCTTCTGGGCTACAAAAATATGAGGTTAGGATTGGAAATAATGGATATGCTGTGGACCTTAACAACAACACATGTGGATGTAGATCTTGGCAAGCATCAGGTATCCCATATGTGCATGCAGTGGCAGCCATTTCATACCTCAACAGGAATGAAGAGGATTATGTTGCACCAGGGTTCCATACAACCATGTTCTTGACTTGTTACAACCATACCATTAACCCACTTAATGGTAGTTCCATGTGGCCTGAAGCTCCCTACATGAAGCCATTGCCTCCTCAAAAAAGAAGGTTACCAGGAAGGCCAACCCTTAAAAGGAAAAAAGGATCAATCTGAGATGGAAAGCAAGGGGAAAAGAAGGCATACTATCTCAAAATCAGGTTCAGTTAATAGATGCACTATTTGTAGAGAAAGGGGCCATAATAGATCAAGATGTCCTACTAGACGAACAGATGTAGCATCTACTTCAAGGCCAAAAAACAAGAAACCTAAAAAATGTAAAAAAGAGAAAGGTATGATATTAAAACAATATAAAGTTTAAATGGAACATCCAACTCATTTACTACATATTTGTATTGCAGGTAAAGTGGAACCAGTTCAAGTGGATCTAGTTCAAGCTGATCCAGTGGATCCAGTTCAAGTACCAGCTCCAAATGTTGAACCAATTCAAGCAGATCCAGTGGATCCAGTTCAAGTACCACATGTTGAACCAGTTGATGATCCAGCTCCACATGTTGAACCAGTTGATGATCCAGCTGCACATGTTGAACCAGTTCAAGTAGATGATTCACATCCAAATGTTGATGTCCCTGCTCAACCAGTTGAAACTAGGATGAGGATACGAAAATACTCAGAAAGAATTACCAAGATAGGGTTGAGGAGGAAGGTTTTGAAGAAAGAAGGAAGCACTGGACACAACACAATGGTGTTGGAATGATTTTATGTTTTATTTTTTTTTGGAAAGACAAACTTTTAGTCTTGTAATTATGTAATTAGGAAAACTTTAAGAATCATGGCACATGGCACATCTTTTGACATATTAGGACAACTGTGGGCACAGCTTTTGTAATAGTGCACATGCTGATGGAATATTACAACTTTGTCTTTTATCTATATGCTTTGGTGTACGGTTATTTGCATATAGATTGTTTAATCTTATATTATCTATCATAAATCAAGTAGATTTAGTATTAATACATTAAGCAATGTTTGTTGTTGTTGTTGTTGTTAATCTGGACCATTTTACCCTTGGATCACATCAACACATTAACAATTGATTACTGCCAAATTTAATTTGGACCATTTTAGCCTTGGATCACATCAAGACATTAACAATTGATTACTGCCAAATTTAATCTGGACCATTTTATCCTTAGATCACATCAAGACATTAACAATTAACTAATGCTAATATTTAGTCTTAATACATTAAGAAATGTTTGATGTATCCAATGTGGTTAATATGGACCATTTTACCCTTGGATCACATCAAGACATTAACAATTAATTAATGCCAATATTTAGTCTTAATACATTAAGAAATGTTTCATGCATCCAATGTGGTTAATCTGGACCATTTTACCCTTGGATCACATCAAGACATTAACAATTGATTAATGCCAATATTTAGTCTTAATACATTAACAAATGTTTGATGTATCCAATGTGGTTAATCTGGACTATTTTACCCTTGGATCACATCAAGACATTAATAATTAATTACTGTCAACTTTAATATGGGCCATTTTACCCATGCATCATGTCCAATTCACTAACCTGTTAAACACATTAATACTTCTTGGAAGCACTCAAAACATCAAACTATCATTAATCAAAAAGATTTAGTCTTAATACATCAAACAAATTACAACATTAAGGACTACATTTAGTCTTTGAATACAGCTAAACTGACTACTTCTTAAACACAAACAACAGAAACAACACAATCATCACAACTTTATGAGTAAATAACTTCCATTTGAGTTTTTCAAACTCTTGTCTAACAACCAATTTTTCTTGTTCCATCTTCATCTTACAAATGCTGATCTCGTTTTCGAATATAGAAACTTTGAGGATTAAATTGCACAGTTCTTTTTTGTCCTTACCAGAATTGACTTCATTTTCAGGGGTTTTAGGCTCTAACCATTCCCAGAACTTGCATTTTGGTCCTTCATTCTTTAAAAAAGTAACAAATTGGTTAAAGAAAGATGATTAAACGAAAAGTAAAAAAACATTTGGTTCGTGAAGAAGATTAAACGAAAAGTACAAAACATTTTCTTTACCATGGAGTTAGGGCACAATCTGAAATTTTTTCCTGGATTGTCTTTAGTTCGTGAAGTTCGTACACGAGATGGTAACCCACAGTAACAAGGATTTTCAGGTTGAAATTCAGCATTTCGTTTGGAAGAAATACAAGAAGAAGGAGAAGAAGCATCCATGTCGATCTAGGGCAAGAACGATGCAATACTGCAACTTTGCAATTCATAAGCCCAGTTTATCGCACATAATGCCACGTAATATCCACATAACTAGTAACCTACAACAACTGGTATCAAGGGTTTTGGTGAACAGGATTAGTAAGTTCAGTGGTATAATAAAGACAAAAAAAGATAAGGGACCAAATGAGTACTTATAGAACACTTTATTACCCTCAAAGATTAGTTTCCCTATATTCCATTATTGGGACTAGTCTCAATATAGAACCATTATCTTTAAACACGGAGATGTTTTCAGAATCAAAGTTAAAATTATAATGAAAACTTTGTTCATACAAACGAGAAGTAGATATAATACTCCTAGTTACACTAGGTATATAACAAAAGTTGTTCAAAATATGGTTGAGAGCATTTGGAAGGAAAAGATTATATTCTCATATGGATTTGACAGCTACTCGAGTTCCATTGCTGACATCGAGTTCCAAATCGCCATCTCTAAGTTCTCTAACACCCTTTAGTCCCTGTATATCATTGCAGATGTTAGAACCACTTCCAGTATCAAATACCCAAGAGTTAGTATGGAATGCATATAATTCAATTACATATATACATGAGGTGCCAACTATGACAACTGTAAATTTTCTAGAACAAACAAGGTCTAAACTTTAACCATGTACAAGTAAATTCACAAATGTAACTTGATCCAATAGAACTTTAAAAGCCAAAAAGGGCATGTTTATATTAAGTTAACATATATATATATATATATATATATATATATATATATATATATATATATATATATAATTTGCAAAACCATGTTGGAATGAACCATTCAAAGTCAAATAAAGTCAACAAGACACTAAGGAGTCAAAGGGGTTCAACAAAAATCCAATGGTTTTAACATAAAAGCATGTTCATGTACCATGCCTTGAGTTTTCGGTTGTAAGGCCCCACACCTTAGTGATTTCGGTTGTTTATGACCGAAATCCGCCTTCAAAGATCAACCACAAGACCCAAAACTCATGATAAATTCCCGCTAAGGCCGAAAACTCCACATACTAGGATTGAAATCTTTTGCTTGAATCCCATTAGGACCGAAATCATAATTTGTGAGTGTGTATAAGGGATTTCGATCATGCGTTGACCGAAATCACCCTCATTAGGACCGAAATCTCCATAAATATCTTTATATGGTGCCACTTGATTAGTTGAAATTACCTTCCCAAAGTAATATTACTCTTACCAATGTAAACATTAACTCACTGCCACCTCTTATCTTTTATCCTCGTATATAATACATGAATTAGAGACCATTGTCAAAACTCATTCATTTAAAACATTCACACTTTGAGTTTTCATTCCATTCTTTAAACCTTCCAAGAACATCAACAAGTCATTCCCAAGAAGCCTTTTAAACAACATTGTTCCTTAGGATTATTGTAAGTATTTCTTATATAATCTAGTGTTTGTGCAAACATTTTCATGTAAGTCCCATTTATTTAAACATTAGTATGTGTTAAAACTCTTAGGATTCAATCATTTATAAGTGTTCGTAACTTTAAGATCATGATCATCACTTCGTTATCAAACCACAAAGTCATATAAGGTGAGTTCATACCCTTACATTTTTCATATCTTTTCTATATTTTAGGGGGAGGGGTGGGGGGATAAAAGTGAAACACAAGAAAAAGTTGTGTTAAAATACAAACTGTTACATTTGTTTTCTTATATTTTATAACGTGAAAATACTAAATAACGTTACTACCAAACTTATAAAATCTTACATGCAATGTCGTTAAATTACAAAGGTTTTTCATTTTAATGGAACATTAAATTTATAACTATAATATGCATAGTTTGTGGATCAATTACGTTATTCTATCCTTTTGGGACAAAGAAATAATTATACAAACATAATATTTTTACATTATATAATCACTATGAAAGGGTGATACATACATTTGTAAGAAAAAGGGATTTTTCGTACATAAACATGTTGATACAAACTTTGTGAGACATTTGGCTTCAACGTACTTTTAAGTAAATAACTTAAGTCCTTTATTATAAACCAAAATCTCTTGTAGGAAGAGCGTGATACTTGTGTATAGATCTATATGGGACTAACAATCCCGCACCTAAATTGTTAGCTACAGTTAGACTGACAGGTCTGGGGTGACAAATGTCATAAAATTCTGACGCCTGAAAAACTGTCACATGTCAATTAATCTCTAGTATGATTATAATAACTCACATGGGCTATTAACAATATATTTTCGTTTACGGGGCTAGCATACATTTAAAAGGTTTTATGCAAATTAAGACTACATATTACGAACTTTAAGTATAGAAAACTTATACATTTTGGTCTTGGAACATTCTAAGACTACAATTCATTTTTCTGGAAAATATCCAATTTTCTGGGAAACAAACACGATTACTTTACACGAAAAGGGTTCATTCATACAAACTCTTATGAACTCACCAAATTAATTGTTTACACCTTTTCAAAACTACTTGTATTCTTAGGAAATCACTAAAACGGGTAACCGCCAGCTTTTGAGGATAGGAGACTAAGGTGTCGGTTAAAAACTCATTTTTGTCATCATATTGTCTTTTATTTGAAAAACATGTAACTCATAAAAAATGCAACCTTTTAAATTATATTTATGATGGTTATGTTTACTTTGGTCACTATTATACTCGTTGTTATGATATTGTACATGACATCACCCGCCCCCCGAACGTTTCCGTTGTTCTAGTTTGGGGGTGTGACACCAACCTAGTTGGCCTTGTTTTTCTTAACTTCCTTTAGGTACTTAGGACAGTTGCATTTCCATTGTCCCCGTACTTTGCAGTAAAATAAATCAGATTCAGTAGTAGATTTAGGATAAGAAGTTGGGTTGGTAGTAGGAGGCTTCCCATGACCCTTTCCTTTTCCTTTTCCTTTCTAGGTAGCTTTGAATTTCTCCTTACTGGTTTTATTACCATTTTCTTCTTGGAGATTTGACCCTCACGAATCATCAACACTTGATTGTTCCTATGTTTCTTGATGTTTTCCTCAATTTTTCTTGATCATGTTATGAAGTCATTTATGCTCCTCTTCCAATCATTCATTGTGAAGCTCATCATAAACTAGTTGAATGACTTAGGTAATAAGGATAAGATCACATTGGTTTCTTGCTCATCCCCAAATGTGAATCTGAGGCGGGCAAGCTACTCAACATAAGCTTTCATTTTGAGTACATATGCACTCACAGAAGGTCCCTCAACCTTCTCGCAACCAATGAAAGCATTCAGGATCTCATACCTATCTTGCTTAGCCAGAACTTGAAACATGATACTTAGTTTCTCAATCATTTTCAAATGCTTCATGATACTTAAAAGTTTTTTGAAGCTCAGAAGTCATAGTTGCAAGCATGATGCAAACCACTTCAGTCAAATCATTTACATGTTTCGCCCAAGCATCTTTTAATGCTTAGGCAACATTGGTCAGGATATC